GAGCAAGAAGCATTAGCTCTGGATCTACTCTATGGAAGAAAGAAATGAAAGGAAATAATTTTTGAGAGGTAAAAGCTTTCCTTAAGTTCGGTGGCATTTTCCTTAGACCATTGTTTCTTTGGCACCACAGATTATATAGATCATATATATTTCTCAAGGGCAGAGAAAATATCAGTTCAGGATAGCCACTGAAGATTGGAAAGCCATTAAGTGTATATTAGCATGAAATAAACACTACCATCACAATCAGTTTTGGTTTTATTGCTAAAGCCATAAGGTGTTAGTGATTTTTTTGTTTGCTTGTTTAGTATGGCAGGAAAATGTTTAAGTGAATATATAAATCAAGTAATCTCTTCAGACATTGTTAATCTAGAAGAAAGTAGTGTATATAGTCAATACTAAGAGCAAGGACAGTTAGTCTATGCTTTCATATAAGCCTTGATCATTTTATCTTTTGCTGGGAGAGTATCTCACCAAGTTGCTATAGATTATATGCTATTATTTTTTAAAAGTATGTTTTTATTGATTTCAAAGAGAAGAAGGGAAAAGGATTGTGAGATAGTAACATTGATGAGAGAAGTGTCAATTGACTATTTTCTGCACGCCCCCTACTGGGGATTGAGCTTGCAACCTCGGCATGTGCCCTGACCGGGAATCAAACCAGGACCTCCTCTTTCATGACTCGACACTCAGCCACTGAGCCACACTGGCTAGGCAATTATATGCTATTTAATAAAAAATAGCAACAGTGAAGTTCTTCTCTTCAGCATTTGCATTAAGAGAAAAATCCTGGAGATTCCAAAATGGCAGTGGAGTAAGTGGAAGCTACACTGACTTGCTTCCAGGACCAAACTGGACTTATAACTAAAATACAGAAAAACCATCCTGAATAATCAACTGAAGACTAGCTGGAGAGAACCCTGATAACCAAGGATGGAAAGCGGAAACTGCATAGAGACTGGTAGGAAGTACAGAGGTGTGAAAGGGCAGACCCTCTGCCACAGACAGCAGCTGAAGTTCTAGAGGGATATCTCAGCTGTGGGGAGTTCTCACTGAGAACTCTGGGGTCTAAACCCAAGCTGGGTTCCCCAGCCCAGGGCACCAGAACTAAGAAAAGTGACCACAGAATATCTGGCTGTGAATAGCATCAGGGTTGCTGTCTGCTAGGGAGAGATGGCTAGAAATACAGGCAACCTCTTAAACAGCCATTGCACAAAATTATGTGTGCAGCACTCACCTTGGGTTCCAGCAGAGTGAAGGCAGAGTGGATTGGACTGTGTGAACAGAAGCCAGGGTTGGGGGCTCTGGGATTATAACTCAGAAGCCCGACTCCCATTTCCTGTGCTGAGTCATCCCCTCATATTGCAGAGGACATCTTTCTCCAGCAGACCATTACCATCCAGGCAGCTTTTGCCTGGAGCTGGGAGGGGGGAGCAATTGCCTCACCCTATTGGAAAACTGTTGACCTACCGTGTGGGGCTTATGAGGCCCATTAAGAGAGTGAGAATAACAATCAGCCTGCAGGCAGAAGCAATTGCCCTACCCTGTTGGAAAACCTCTCACTCCATCCTGTGGTTGATAGCCTGAGGTCAATCAGTCTGAATAACAATCAGACTTCAGGAAGAGGCAGGTCTCTGGAGCCTATAAGTCTTTGCTTGATCTAATTCAGGGCCTGGAACTAGAAAAAGCAGACCTTAATGCAATCTTGGTCCTTTCCAAAGGCAGCCAGCCCCAACAGAGGATTGCTGATATCTCCAAACAGGGGACTCAGGGCCAGTCAAAAACAGCATCTGAAATGGTGCTGCACTAGAGACTTGGAGTCATAGCAGATCTACCTAATACATGCACTGAGTGGCCAGATTATTATGACCAGTCAGATTATTATGACTGGTCAGATTATTATGACCACCCCATCAGTACAATGAAGGGAATTAGTTATGCAAATAATAATAATAATAATAATAAAACCTTGAGAGTATTTGCTTAGGAAGTTTTCAATATTCAGTATTTTTGGAAGTGTGAATGAAGTACTGATGGGTGGTCATAATAATCTGGCCACTCAGTGTAGACACAAACCCAAACAGGCAGCCAAAATGGGAAGGCAAATAAGCCCCAAATGAAAAACAAGAGAATTCTCTAGAAAAAGAGCTAAATGAAATGAAGATAAGAAATTTATCAGACATAGAGTTCAGAATAATGATGGCAAGGATGCTCAACAGCATGAGAAAAAGATATAGTAACTATGAAAAAAGACCAGTTGGAAGGAATGTCATAGCACTAATAAAGAGCACATTGGAAGGAATACACAGCAGATTAGAGGAAGCTGAGTGTCAGATCAGTGGATTCTATGACAGGGTAGGAAAAAAAAAAAAATCACTCAGAGAACCAAAAAGAAAAAAAACAATTAAAAAACACAAGGACAGCTTAAGGGAGCTGTGGGACAACATGAAATGTAACAATATTCACTTTATAGGAATGCCAGAGGGGAAGAAAGTGAGAAAGAGATAGAAAATGTGTTTGAAGAAATAATGGCAGTAACCTTTCCTAATCTGGTGAAAAAAAGACAACCAACATCCTACTCAATGGGCCAAAACAAAACCATTTCCCTTAAGAACAGGAACAAGTCAGGGATGTCTGCTTTCACCACTCTTATTCAACACAGTACTGGAAGTTCTAGCCACAGTGATCAGACATGAAGAAATAAAAGGTATCCAAATTGGAAAGAAGGAAGTAAAACACTCATTATTTGTAGATGACATAAAAATGTACATAAAAAAACCCTAGAGACTCCACCAAAAACTACTAGATTTAATAAATGAATTTGGCAATATAGCAGGATACAAAATTAACACCCAGAAATCAATGGCAATGAACTATCAGAAAGAGAAACTAAACAAGCAATCCCATTTACCATTGCAACAAAAAAAATTAAGATACTTAGGAATAAACTAAACCAAAGAGGTAAAAGACTTATATTCAGAAAACTATAGGATGTTGAAAAAAGAGATAGAGCAAGATCTAAGCAAGTGTAAGAATATACCATGTTCATGGATTGGTAGAATCAATATCATTAAAATGTCCATATTACCCAATGCAATCTACAGATCCAATGCAATGCCTATTAAAATACCAACAGCACATTTCACAGTTCTAGAACAAATACTCCAAAAATTTATATGGAACAACAACAAAAAATCCTGAATAGCCAAAGCAATACTGAGAAAGAAGAACAAAGTTGGAGAGATCACAATACCAAATATCAAGTTATACTACAAAGCCACTGTAATCAAAACAGCCTAATACTGCCGCAAGACAGACATATAGATCAATGGAACAGAACAGAGACCCCAGAAATCAACCCAAGCCATTATGTTCAATTAATTTGACAAAGGAGGAAAAAGCATACAATGAAGTCAAGATAGTTTCTTCAATAATTGATGTTGGGAAAATTGGACAGATACAAGCAAAAAAGTGAAATTAGACCACCAACTTACACCATACACAAGAATAAACTAAAAATAGATAAAAGACTTAAATGTTACTCATGAAACCATAAAAACCCATAGGCAGCAAAATCTCAGACATCTCTCATAGCAATATGTTTGCAGATATATCTCCTAGGGCTGTGGTCGGCAAACTGCGGCTAGTGAGCCACATGCGGCTCTTTGGCCCCTTGAGTGTGGCTCTTCCACAAAATACCACATGCAGGCACACGTACAGTGCGATTTAAACTTCATGGCCCATGTGCAGAAGTCGGTTTTTGGCCTGGGCGAGTCTATTTTGAAGAAGTACTGTTGATATTTGGCTCTGTTGACTAATGTCTTTGCCGACCACTGTAGGGCAAAGGAAACTAAGGAGAGAATAAACCAATGGGACTACATCAAAATAAAAAGCCCCTGCACAGCAAAAGAAACCGTCAACAAAATGAAAAGGCAACCCACTGAATGGGAGAACATATTTGGCAATAATACAACTGATAAAGGGTTATTATCCAAAATTATAAGGAACTCATACAACTTAACAAAAGGAAGACAAACAATCTAAATCCAAATTAAAAATGGGCAAAGGACCTAAATAGACACTTCTCCAAAGTGGATATACAGATGGCCAAAAGACATATGAAAAAATGCTCAAAATCACTGCTCATCAGAGAGATGAAAATTAAAATGACAATGAGGTATCACTTCACACCTGTCAGAATAGCTACCATCAACATATCAACAAATGACAAGTGATGGCAAAGATGTGGAGAAAAGGGAACCCTAGTTCACTGCTGGTGGGAATGCAGACTGGTGCAGCCATTATGGAAAACAGTATGGAGTTTCCTCAAAAAATTAAATATGGAACTGCCATTTGACTTAGTGATTCCACTTCTAGGAATATATTCTAAGAAACCCAAAACACCAATCAGAAAGAATGTATGTACCCCTATGTTCATAGGAGTGCAATTTACAATAGCTAAGATCTGGAAACAGCCCAAGTGCGCATCAGTAAATGAGTGGATAAAAAATCTGTGGTGCATTTATACCATGGAATACTATGCAGCAGTAAAAAAGAAGGATCTCTTACCCTTTGAGACATCATGGAGGGACCTGGAGAGTATTATGCTAAGTGAAATAAGGCAGTCAGAGAAAGACAAGTATCACATGAAATCACTCATATGTGGAATCTAATGAACAAAATAGATCCAGGGACATAGAAGCATGGAACAGACTATCGAATCTCAGAGGGAAGGCGGGGGAGAGTGGGTTGGAATAGATCAACAAAAGAACTTGTATGCATATATGCATAATGCATGGACACACACAATAGGGTGTTGAAGGGGTGGGGTGGGCTAGAAGGGGTTAATGGGAGAGAACGAGGACATATATGTAATACTGAACAATAAAGATTTAAATATAAAAGAGAAAAATCCTGAAATTTATAGATATTTCTCTTTTTAAATTTTTATTGAATTTTATTAGTGTGACTGGTTAATAAAATTATATAGTATACAATTCTATAATTTATTAGTTATACATTGTATTGTGGGTTCGGGGATTTCTGATATTAGGAAATCGTAATATGTAAGATTATATTTAGCAAGTATGGTAACTCCGCTCACAGCAATTGGCATATGTATAGTTACAATTTGCATTCCAGCTATTTAAACTTAGATATCCTTGACCAGGTTGAACATACTGTGAGTAGAAATAAGATGGAGAGAGTCTTTGGAGAATGGCCTCATTGAATTGGTAAGTTAGTTTTCTCCGGATTTTGATGATTTCCCCAGTTCTTCCATAATTCCTCAGTGCTCTGGCCATTTTCTGGTAAGTCATGGTCTTCCGGTTGCCTTTTCTTTTGCCCCAAAGTTGGGCAAGTTTTTCTTTGTTTTTTGATACAAACTGAAAGATGCCTTTGGTCTTATCTAGCCACTGAATACAAGATGCCATCTCAGGATTACACAGAGATTCATGAAGGTATTCGAACAGTCGGAGCTTCTTCCTGCCTAAAAAGGAGGAAAACAACATCATACTCCACTCATTGCTGTAACAAGGAACATCCTCAGGAAGGGTTTATTGACTACAACGTGGAAAGCTGTTCTGGGACTGGTTTCCTCCTTCTCATTCATGTAGGCATGCATTTATGGCATCATTTTATGGGACTTGAAAGTCAAGAGTCTTTTTGACCTTGAACTTTCAACTGGACCTTTATTTGTTGGAAAAGTTGTCAAAAAATCTTGTATCATCGCCGAAACCGATTTGGCTCAGTGGATAGAGCGTCGACCTGTGGACTGAAGGGTCCCAGGTTCGATTCTGGTCAAGGGCATATATCTCAGTTACGGGCACATCCCCAGTAGGAGATGTGCAGGAGGCAGCTGATCAGTGTTTCTCTCTCATCGATGTTTCTAACTATCTCTTTCCCTTCCTCTCTGTAAATAATCAATAAAATATATTAAAAAAAAAAATCTTGTATCATCCTTCAATGATAAAGAGAAGCCTGGAACCTCTTTACCTGAATCTCCCATTTCTCATGTGGTCTTTTTCTATACTTAAATCTTAACTGGTATTTTTATATCAAGTGTTAAACTTTCTACAGACCAATGAAACTGAGCAAAAACTCAGGAAACTTCAGGAATGGATGACCAAGTTTAGTGGTTTTAAAGAGAAGCCCCAAAAGCCATTTTCAGAAAGCAAGTCATTTGAAGGTCTTTATTCAAATGAGTTGTCAAAATGAGGTAAGGAATATGAATCCATTTTGTAAAAGGCAAAACACTATGCAAACCTAAGTGAAACTGATAACAGAGGCTTAGGTAAAAATGCGAAATCTGGGTCTGCATAATTTCTTGAAAAAGCAAATATAGAGAAAACTGGAGTGGAAAATGCCAAAATATCTTCATGACATTCTGATATTGTTCATGAGCAATGACAATGGGCACTGTGATATTTTTTCATTGCTGTTACATAAAATGGTACTGCCAGTTTTTCTCATTAGGAGCATAGCCCTTTACATTTTAGAACTACTAGACAGGAAACTTCAGGAAGATTTGTTGTGGTTTTTTATTTGGTTGGTTGATTGGATATTTTTAGCAGAACAAAGAACAAAGGTGACCACCCATTTTGTAACTTGGGGGTTGGCCTGTAAATGCCATGCCTCATCAGATCTGTCAGGAGCTAAAAAAAAAAAAAAAAAAAAAAAAAAAATCCATGGCCAAATTCCATTTCCCCTTTGAGAAAGTAAAATACTGGATTTCCAAACTGCTTTAAACAGCCTCTGGGGAGTCATACTCTTGCATCAGTCATCAGTCATCCAAAAACCTCAAAGGTTTCTACAAAGATTATCTTTTGTGTTGTATTATCTTGAGTTTCTGAACTGAGTAATGAAAGGGACTTACCAAAAACAAATCATGAATTAAAAGTCACAACCTTGACCCCGCCTCCCACCCTCCCCCCCCCACCCCACACACACTTCATAAAAATAAAAAATAAAAAAATAAAAAATAAAAGTCACAACCTTAAACAAACTCACTGCCTCTCATCCAGTGGTTAAATCAATTATAATGAATCCACAACTTTTTTAAAAAAATATTTAAATTTTTTTTTTAAATAAAAATATTATATGCTCATGGTAAATGATTAAAACAGAAGCATAAAGTGAAAGTAAAAGTTCTAGTCTATCTTACATATTTCTCGAAAGTGTTTTTCTTATTTTTTGCATATACAAACATGCATATTCTTTAAAAAATTACAAATGGTGCCCTGGCCAGGTGACTAGGTTGGAGTGTTGTCCCCTACACCTAAAGGTTGAGGGTTCAATTCCCTTTCAGGCACATAACCTAGGTTTTGTGTTCAATCCCTAGGGGCATACGAGAGGCAACTGATCCATGTTTCTCTCACATCAGGAGTTCAAATTATTATGGAACTTTTTTTTGCAGAAAACTTAATAAAGAAGATGATTTCTATCCCAAGGACTTCACAACTGGAATAAGAATGCTAAAATTACTTGTGAAAAATTCCCTTTTGATACCTAAAATATAATATATACACATTATGTATTTATTTGAGCTAAGTGGATACTTTGCAGCTTTGTAATATCTCTATGAAGCAATAAGAAAGCTCATGCAAGATGAACAGCTTGGAGTAGTTCAGTCTGTCTGAGTTAAATTATGCTCAATCGTGATTAGAGAATATCTTGCAAATACAATTCCAAACAGATATGAAATCCCCTTAAAACTGGTTTGAGGGAGACCTGGTTCTTTTACACGATGGATCCATGTACCTTTTCCTCCCTTTTGCTGGAGAACAGGAAATTGTACCATCTGGTTTTCAGGGATGTTCTGCAGAGATTGATGAATATTCCCTTCAAGACAGAGATCCACAGGACGATTCTATACAAACAATGCAGCAGGATGTTAAGTGGGACTTTCCATGTGGCCCTCAGTTGGTGGCTAAAGTCAAACGCTGGGGGCAAAAGAGTGTTAAACATCCAGATTCTCCAAAGCACTACCCTCAACTGCAGCCAGATATCTCCCAGGGCAGAACTAGCATATATGCAGAGGACCTAGGGATGGAGGGTCCTCTTCGGGTTTGTGAGGAGTTCCATATTGTCCTCTGCCGATGAGAAAGGACAGGGGATGGCTTCCCTCCCCTGAAAATACCAATGAGAACGCAAGTCCAAAAAGAGTCAGTAGCAGGAATTTAGGTGTCAGCAAAAAGGGGAGGTGGGCTTCCATTCTTGCTTTGGATGCCTATCCAGGCAAGAGGAGATAAGAGGAGAAAGATGGCAACCAAAGGAAGGCAGAACCAAGAAAGGGGGCAGGAGCTCCTACCATTACATATGTCAAGGATATGTGGATCTCCATGGGTGAAAGGGGCTGAACTTGAGCGATCTTACCACACCCCATGCAAGAGGGCTGCCTAACAGCCAAGGACTTCCCAACCACAAGAGGCAGTGCAGTTTGTGTATGCCAGGCTGTGGGAATTGAAATGGAAGGAAGGTTGCCAGATTTAGCAAATGGAAATATGAGTCATTCTGCATTTTACCTGGCAACCCTAAATGGAAGCAGAAGAGCTTAAGCTGGAACCAAAAACTCCCTCTTCAAAGAAATGTCCCGTGGAAAGGCCGTGACAGAACAATGTACAGGGTCACAAAAAAAGATTTTTGCATTTTTGCACGGTTGCAAGTAATGACAGAAGAAAAAGGAAAATCATTTCCTATTTACTCCCCACTACATTAAGACTGCTTTAACAAATTGGACACATCAGAACAATGTAAAAGAACACACGGATGGAGAGAGATGGTGGGGATATTTACTTTTGCAGGAAACTACTAAAATATAAATTAATTGGTCCAATACATATAGTTAGTGCTTGGGGTGTGGGGGAATAGGACAGATGAATACAAAATTGTAGGTAAAGCCAATGCAGGGGATGTTTGGGCGTTTGCCCTCTGGTTTTTAGGGACCCATCATAACTGTTCTGCAATTTTCCGGATGGACTTAAGAGAAGCAGTGATCTTAGAACCTTGAAAGCGCCTCCTCTTTCTAGAAGTCATTCAAACCAGTCTGCCACTGGGTGAGGAGCAATAACAAAGGGCAGTTTCCTTCTTCACAGCACTGCTCATCGTCACCCAGATTGCCTGTCAAATTCATACCCTGGCCCCGGTTTGGCTCAGTGGATAGGGCAGCGGCCTGAGGACCGAAAGGTCCCGGGTTTGACTCCGGTCAAGGGCATGTACCTTGGTTGCGGGCTCATCCCCAGTAGGGGGTGTGCAGGAAGCAGCTGATCGATGTTTCTAACTCTCTATCTCTCTCCCTTCCTCTCTGTAAAAAATCAATAAAATATATTTTTAAAAAATTCATACCCTGATTGATGGTAGCCATGAGTAAGCAACCATGAGTAAGCAGTCTGTGCTTTCAGCTGGGTTTCAGCTATCATTCATCAAGTGCCAAGGGGAAAGCTGGTGTGAAGGGGAAATTTACCTGTTACTGCGGGGGTTTGGGGAGAGGCCTCCTGGTGCGTATACTCACTATTACTGTTTTCCAGTTATAGACAGGTTGCTCTGGAGGCAGCATACCATAGCAGCTGGGACTTCCTGTGACATAACAGTGGTTGAGGACATTCACATAGTCTTTGCAATCTAAGGTAAAAACAGAAATTTAAAAAGATAAAGTTTATGTTTGTGTGTATATGTGCTTATACGTATAAGCTTATGATGTATGCAATTGCTTCCACCCATGTTCTTTTCATCACTTACCATTTCCTTAGGGTGTTTATGGCATTATGCTGATATTACAGATACATTTTTATATATTCCATTTCTCCTACTAGCGTACATGCTCCTTGCAGGACGAGATCGCATGAGTTCTTGTATATTGGAACTTCCCACAATACCCTGTGTAAACTCAATTGTTAAAATATCTGCATCTCATCTAGGCTATACTTCTATAGTCTATGGGATAATGGGTAAGAAAGAATAGCATACTTATTTTTTCCAGTAGAGTATATTTTGCTTGGGTGTAAGGTCTTTAAAATAAACTAGAATAATTGAAGAGCCCTTTCTGAAAATGTCAGTAAGATATTTATAATAATAAAAGCGGCCCTGACCGCTTTGGCTCAGTGGATAGAGTGTCAGCCTGTGGACTGAAGGGTCCCGGGTTTGATTCCGGTCAAGGGCATGTACCTTGGTTGCGGGCACATCCCCAGTGGGAGGTGTGCAGGAGCCAGCTAATCAATGTTTTTCTCTCATTGATGTTTCTAGCTCTCTATCCCTCTCCCTTCCTCTCTGTAAAAATCAGTAAAATATATTAAAAAATAATAAAAAATAAATAAAAGCATAATATGCTAATTAGACCGGACAGCCGAATGACCTTCGGATGTCATTCCAGACATCCTTCTGGATGAAGCCATGGTGGTGGGGGCCGAAGCAGAGGTGGTTAAAGATGATCAGGCAGGCAGGGGAGCCGTTAGGGGCAATCAGGCAGGCAGACAAGTAGTTAGGGGCGATCAGGCAGGCAGGCAAGCAGTTAGGAGCAATCAGGCAGGCAGGCAGAGTGGTTAAGGGCATTCAGGCAGGCAGGCAGGCAAGCAGGCAAGCAGTTAGGGGCAATCAGGCAGGCAGGTGAGTGGTTAGGGGCAATCAGGCAGGCATGCAGAGTGGTTAAGGGTGATCAGGCAGGCAGGCAAGCAGTTAAGGGCATCAGGCAGGCAGGCAGAGAGGTTAGGGGCAATTAGGCAGGCAGGCAAGTGGTTAGGGGAGATCAGGCAGGCAGGCAGAGGCAGTTAGGGGTGATCAGGCAAGCAGGTGAGCAGTTAGGGGCATCAGGCAGGCAGAGTGATTAGGGGCAATCAGGAAGGCAGGCAAGTGGTTGGGGCAATCAGGCAGGAAGGCAGAGGCTGTTAGTGGCAATCAGGCAGGCAGGCAGGTGAGAGGTTAGGAGCCAGTGGTCCTGGATTGTGAGAGGAATGTCCAACTGCAGGTTTAGGCCCGATCCCACAGGGATCCCTGTGGGATCGGGCCTAAACCGGCAGTCAGACATCCCCCGAGGGGTCCTGGATTGCAAGAGGGTACAGGCCAGGCTGAAGGACCCCTCCGCCTCATGCATGAATTTCGTGCACTGGCCTCTAGTGCTTGATAAAAAATGATATGTCTTAGTATTCCTGTGTGGAATGTTGTTCTCTACGTATTTTGCATTTTATATGTGAGACTTTAGATTGATTTAGGCTAGGTAACCCTGGATGCATTTTGCCTTTGTTAGAATTAATTCTAGCTGCATTGGGTAAAAACAGTCTTCTCTGTCCTGATCATTATTCTTGCATATGTATGTTACCAACCAGCCATTTGATGTAGCAGCAGAAGAAGGAGGTAACATCTTACCTGGCAGGTACTGAAGATCTCCAGTTGAATGTTGCCTCAGTACGTCAAAAGCATCTTCAAATGCTTGGCCCAGCCTATCTTGTTCAACACAAGCCTGCTAGAACAATAGCAATACTCTGGAGTTGCGAAATTACCAATTGGAGGGTTTCTCAACCATGGCACTATGACATTTTAGATTGGCCAAGCCTTTTTTTGGGGGGGAAATCGGGGGTCTGTTCTGGGTATTTTAAGGTGTTTAGCAGCATCCCAGGCCTCCATCCACTTACTAGATGCCAGGAGCACTCAAACAGCTGTGACAATCAAAATGTCTCAAATATATTCAAATATATCCCTGGGAACAAATTCAACCCTAATTGAGAGCCATTGCTCTATAATACATATTTGGAGACCAGTATTCATACTATATAGTATAGTATTTTTTAAATGCTGTTTTTTATTGATTTTTTGGATAAGAGGAAAGGAAAGGGAGAGAGAGATAGAAAAATTGATAAGAGAGAACATTATTGTTGTAGCTGGTTTGGCTCAGTGGGTAGAGCATCGGCCTGCAGACTGAAAGATCCTGAGTTTGATTCTGGTCAAGGGCATGTACCTGTGTTGCAGGCCCCTCCCAGGCCCAGGCCCTGATGTAGGAGGCAACCAATCATGTGTTTCTCTCACATTGATATTTCTGTCTGTTCCTCTCCCTAAAAATCAATGGAGCCCTAACCGGTTTGGCTCAGTGGATAGAGCGTCGGCCTGCAGACTGAAGGGTCCCAGGTTCGATTCCGGTCAAGGGCATGTACCTTCGTTGTGGGCACATCCCCAGTAGGAGGTGTGCAGGAGGCAGCTGATCGATGTTTCTCTCTCATCTATGTTTCTAACTCTCTATCCCTCTCCCTTCCTTCTGTAAAAAATCAATAAAATATATTTTTTTTAAAAATCAATGGGAAAATATCTTCAGGTGAAGGTGAGGATTAAAATTTAAAAAAAGAAACATCATCAATCAGCTGCCTCCTGCACACGCCACACTGGGGATTGAGCCTCCAACCTGAGCATGTGCCCTGACCAGGACAGGAATTGAACTGGCTACCTCCTGGTGTGTAGGTCGATGCTCAGCCACTCAGCCACACCAGCTGGGCTATAGTAAAGTATTTTAACATTCTTGTAACATTTTTCAAGGAATTGTAGAGCTGAAGACTGATTTGGAAAAAGGGACCAATAAATTATCTTTGTGAATAGAGTGTCGGCCTGCAGACTGAAAGGTCCCAGGTTTGATTCCGGTCAAGGGCATGTACCTTGGTTGAGGTCACATCCCCAGTAGGAGATGTGCAGGAGGCAGCTGATTGATGTTTCTCTCCCATCGATGTTTCTAGCCCTCCCTCTCCCTTCCTCTCTGTAAAAAGTCAATAAAATATATTTTTAAAAATTACCTTTAATCAAGAATCTGAAATGTTATTTAAGAACAAAATGCTCTTAATTTCTTTTTTTCTTTTGTTAATCCTCAACCAAGAATATATTTCCATTGCTTTTTTAGAGAGAGTGAAAGGGAGTGGGAGAGACAAAGAAAGAAACATTGATGCAATTGGTTGCCTCCCACAAACACCTCAGCCCAGCCTGTACCCTCTCCAAACTGGCAGTCGGACATCCCTCTCGCAATCTGGGACCACTGGCTCCTAACCACATACCACCTGCCTACCTGATCACCCCTAACCACAAATTTCATGCACTGGGCCTCTAGTAAATAAATAAATAAGCTTTTTTAAAAAAGATTTAAAGTAGAAGGGTTGTGCAAACCATTGCTTACTCTTATTAATCTAATCCACGTATTTTATTTTCAAAATGGAAAATGAATAAAGATTTTTACATGACCACTTACCATACTTCTTATTAACTTGGCAATTCTGAAAAAGATTAATATTTAAAAAACAAAATTAAGTAGTGTCTCTATTTAATTTTCCTCTGAATTAAAAGATCTTACTCAAAATTTTTTCTAAAAAATGTCTTACATAAACCAAGAGTACCATCTGATTAGTATATATGATGAGTACAAATTTTCTTCCTATAAACATTTTTTTTGCTCTTCTATCATTACAAAACTTCTTCAATTTAAAAAAGCTAAATAGAATTAATTACCTACATGGTTTAACTTATAAGAGAATACAGAAATAACTCACGTATATATTTAAATATTTAAAAGTATTTCTAAGTTCTGATAATCAAAATTATTTTCTCCATTAAGCATAGCTATTTGGTTTTAGCAGTGATTTTTTTAAACATTTCTGATGTTCTATAGCCTTCAGAGAATCTGGTGAAAGACATACTTTTTCCCTTATGAAATGTAGAATTATATCACAAATAAAATACATGCTTTGAAACCCATCCATGGACTTCCTAAAATCCTGAGTTAAGAACCCTGATCCATAATTTTATATTATCTACTTTCTTATCCCTGTAAGTAATTTAGATTTTTGTTTTAAATAAACAATTATCACACTGACCCACATTAAATGTTTTTTAATTCTACTTTCTATAAAACTTCACACACACAAATAAATCCACATAACAATAAAGTGTATGGGGTAACCAACATTGCTTATCATTTCATTTAGGACACCCAACAACTGTTTATACAAGTTGTTAACATTTATCCTGCAAACACAATGAGCTTACTCTAATATTTAATGCGGCATTATACAATGAGATGATAGGATCACTATATCATGTCAGTTAAAAGAGAATAGGAAAAGAAAAGCCATAAAATCCGAAACTATTGAGATGATGGGTGTTAATATTATTGTGGTCATCATTTCCTAATATTTGCTTATATCAAATCATCATGTTGTACACCTGAAATTTATACAATATTATACATTAATTATACCTCATAAAAGCTGGGAAAAATGTATTTTTCAAAAGCCACATCCATGACTTTCAATTATATATGTCTCTACTTGCAAGCACCAAAGCAAATACTGTTGTACTTTGAATTAAATACTTAAATGAAGCTACTCCTTTTTTACTACAATACCCCACAAAACTGCCACAACTCTCAAAAGCAGCAAACTCAAAGGGAAGAAAAAAGTTTGAAAACGTATTGATCACTCTGCTGCTTCATATATCTTGTATCAGGACAGCCAGTAAAAAAAAAAAAAAACCACTCATTAGACCAAAGGAGAAAATGAATAACCATTTTTACAAGACGCTTTGAAAAGAACAAGTTTAACACTTACCAGGAAGGCACTTCAACCCCTTACAATGATGTTTCATGAATATCAGAATCGTTAAGACAGAACTGTCAAGAACTCACTGCAGAATTGCATTAAATAGCTGTTTTTAAGGAAGTGCTACAAAAGGGGATTTTTTTTAAAAGATACAGTGCCTTCATAATTTCTCTGTCATGATAGGGCCAGTGGACACCAGGGGCTAATATTTTGAAGAGGCGCAGAACAGTTTGTATCCTATGGGCCAAAGCATTAGAACAAACCCCATGAAACCCCCACCCAGTGTAAGTTGCAGCCCTTAGGCCTGCACAGCCCTATTGGAAACTCTGACCTGTACAATGCTTGCCCCTCCTCTTTTTTTATTCCTGTTCCTTCTCCCCTGATTCTGGACCTTAATCGCCTTTCTTTCTTTTTTTATATGTATTTTTTATTTTTCTTAAATATACTTTCATTGATTTCAGAAAGGGAGAGAGAGAGAGAGAGAGAGAGAGAGAGAGAGAGAGAGAGAGAGAGAGAGAAATCAATGAGAGAGAATCATTAATTGGCTGCCTCCTGCACACCCCGCTGCAACCCAGGCATGTGCCCTAATCAGGAATTGAATTGTGACCTCCTGGTTCATAGGTCGACACTCTATCACTGAGCCATGCCAGCAGGGCAATATAGGGCCTTTCTTGTTCGGACTATTTAGCAGCTGTCTCATTCTGATCTCCCCAAATGGGTCTCTTTACTCTCAAACTTCTTTACTCATACCGTGATTTACTGATTGCCTTACTTACGAGTTTTTAAAGGCATAGGCCTTGCCTTGGCATTGGAGGCTATTCATTCCAGCCTTAGTTCTATTGACCATAGTTCATTTTATTTATTTATTTACTTACTTAGTTACTTACTTGCTTGTTTACTTATTTATAATACTCATCTCTGATTATTTATCATTTATTTACTTATGCATTATTTATAATATTCACCTGAGGATATTTTTTCCATTGAGCCTCAGAGAATGGAAAGGAGGGAGAGGGCAAAACATTGACATGAGAGAGATACAGATTGGTTGCCTCCCACATGAGCCCGACCCTGGGGCCAGGGATCAAACCTGCAACTCAGTCCAGCCAGTGTTGCTCAGTGGTTGAGTGTTGACTTAGGAACCAGGAGACCCCAGTTTGATTCCCAGTCATCAATTCCCAGTCAGGGTGCATACAACATCATTGATATTTTTATCTCTCTCCCTCTCCCCTCCTCTCTGAAATCCATAAAAAAAATGTATTAAAAAAAAGAAAAAAGAATACATGCACCCTATGTTCCTAGCAGCACAATTTACAAAAGCTCAGATTTGAAAATAGCCTAAATGCCCAATAACAGATGAGTGGATAAAAAAACAATGGTAGCTGTAGCCGGTTTGGCCCAGAGCGTCGGCCTGCGGACTGAGAGGTCCCGGGTTCAATTTCGATCAAGAGCATGTACCTGGGTTGTGAGCACATCCCCAGTGGGGGGTGTGCAGAAGGCAGCTGATCTATGTTCCTCTCTCATCGATGTTTCTAACTCTCTGTCCCTCTCTCTTCCTCTCTGTAAAAAAAATCAATAAAATATATATATTTTTTAAAAAGCCCTAACTGGTTTGACTCAGTGGATAGAGCATCAGCCTGTGGACTGAAAGGTCCCAGGTTCGATTCCGGCCAAAGGCATGTACCTGGGTTGCGGGCACATCCACAGTAGGAGATGTGCAGGAGGCAGCTGGTCGATGTTCCTCTTTCATCGATGTTTCTAACTCTCTATTACTCTCCCTTCCTCTCTGTGAAAAATCAATAAAATATATTTTAAAAAAAAGAAAGAAAAGAAAAACCCTAACTTAACTCTGGTGCCGTGTCACATATAGAAATTTTTTGATATTTGCAACCATAGTAAAACAAAGATTTATATTTTTGGTATTTGTTTTATATATTTAAATGCCATTTAACAAAGAAAAATCAACCAAAAAAATGAGTTCACGTGTCACCTCTGACACGCGTGTCATAGGTTCGCCATCACTGGCCTATGTAATACTTTCAACAACAAAGATTAAAAAAAACAAAACAAACAAACAAACAAAAAAACAGCAACCTGAAACTGAGGTAAGTACCTTTCGCCGGGAATTCAGAAATCACACCTTTGGTCTACGGGCCGATGCTCGAACCACTGAGCCAAACCAACCAAAACTACCAGCACTCATTTTAGAGGAGGTGCTACTGCTTCCCTGCACGCTTGGACCCTGTAGATGTTAGTAGAGGTTTAGCAAATAGTTAGTAGAGATTGATGGGTGCTGATCTACCAGTAAACTGCTTGAAGCTGCTGCATTTGCCAAGGGTGTCAAGTTTTCTTCTTTAGCTTGAAGGTTTCTTTGTGTTGGTTTCCAGTGGCTCTGATGGAAACTATGGGTGCTCCGTCCACCTAAAAATGCTTCATTCTCAGCCCACCCATCTTACCTGTTCTTCTGAATCCAATCTAGCATCCACAGGTACCAGGTAGAAATCACTCACTCCTCTGAAACACAAGCCTGCATCAACCTAACTCACCGCAACTTTCTGCCGCTTTAATAGCTGTCACCTGTAGCCAGGGGGGAAACCACCCAAGGATTTCTAGTCAGTCTTCCACAGGGTGGGGGAGAGATTTTTCTAATCAGCATTTTGGAATCCCAAATCACCGTTGATATGGTACTATTGTTCTAAACTACTTTGTTGAGCTGTTTTGTTTTGCAAATATACACACCATCCCTCTTCTGAAATGTAGATGTTTTATATAATCCTATTGAGCCTGAATGGTTTAGTGATTGAGCCTTGACCTATCAACCAGGAGGTCACAGTTGGATTCCCAGTCCTGGCATACATCCGGGTTGCCAACTAGATCCCCAGTGTGAGGTGTGCAGGAGGTGGCCTATCAATGATTCTCTCTCATCATTGATGTTTCTATCTCTCTCTCTCCCGCTCCCTTCCACTCTGAAATCAATAAAAAAATATTTTTAAAGAATAATAATTACTTGCTCTCAATTATTCTTTAAATTTTACTGAGACTTGTTCTGAGACTCAACATAGGACCTCTCTTTCTATCTTTATTTTTGGATTTTTAATAACTGAAACAAAAAATGTTCTAAAACCGAAGCTTCTGAAAGAACCATGTGTTGTTCTTGCCAGACATGTACCTCTCTTCAAACTTTACCTTGGCCTCCTGTTGAGCCTTGCATTTTAGAGTCGGGTCTCTGAAGAGGTCCTTGCTGACAACAATTTTGTCCAAGGGAAGATCCACAGAATACCTATGGGCATGAGGTGACTGGAATTCACAGGAGACTTGATCTTTGACCTCTTGGCAATTTTCTTCTTGCCCATGGCAGTTGTCACTTTATGGTGATAGAGGGCAATGCCATCCACCAGAGCATGGCTGAAGGGAAGTCTGAGGTGGCATCATCAATGTTCTACACAATGACGGCTTTGCATCCGGAGTAGCGTCCAGCCAGGACCAGCACCACCTTCCCGGGCTTCTTGCCCATTTCGAAGGCAGCCACTCAGGCCTAGAGCAGAAAGAAAACCCAACATAGTATCTCTCTTGATGAATGTTTCAATTGCACTTGAATCAAGGTATATTCTGCAATTATTGTATGAAGGGCCAAATAAATGTCAGGTCTAGGTGGTTGATAATGTTCGAATTTTTCACATCCTTATTGACTTTTCAATAAGGTTAGACACCACAAAGAGTAATATCCAACTATAATTGTGGATTTGCCTATTTTTTCCCTTCAGTTCTGTCAACTTTTGCTTCCGGTGTTTTGAGTCTCTATTACTAGGTTTATACTCATTTAGAATTATTATGTGCTCCTGGTGAATTAAGCCTTTTGTTATCATAAAACTTCTGTCTTTCTTTCTGGTAATCCTTGAAGTCTACTTTGACATTAACTACACCAGGATTTTCACTTTCCTTTTACTTTTTATCCTTTTTCCTTTCAACATGTCCACATTGAGTCTTTATATTTAAAATATGTCTCTTTAAGCAACATGTAATGGGGGTGTTGCTTATCCAGTTTAACGATATCTGCCTTTTTAGTCTAATTTAGTAATTACTGATATGGCTAAGTTTAATAATGTAATAATGTAAGTTTTTATAATGTAATGGCATGTTATGATATAATATACTTCTGTAATTTATTTGTAGTGGTTGCTCCAGGAATTACAATATTCATTTTGAATTTATCACAGATTATCTCTAGTTATGATTATACCATTCATGCATAACATAAGAATATACTTATCGGTATATTCAGTATAATTCCTTTTTCATTTCTTCTTATCCTTTGTGCTACTCTCAGCATATATTTACTTTAGATGTTATCATAATGGATTATTTAACCTTCACAATAATACTATGTGGTGGTATTATTATCCCTGGATTCCAATTGCGGCTCCAGATCTATGTGAACTTGAACAGATCACTTAGCCTCTGATCCCTCTCTGTAAAATGTAGATAATAATTTTTTTTATCACATAGAGCTACTGTAAAAATCTGAGTGAATCCATGTTAATGTACTTTAGATAGTTCTAGCACTCAATAAATGTCAGGTCCCACTTTATTTTCACAGATGAAGAAATAGAAGGTCAAAGAGGTGAAGTGACTGACTCAAAATCACACAGCTACTGAGTAAAGGTGTGAGGGTTTTCAAACCAGTTCTACCTAACTCCAACCAAAACTGTTTAACCATTCAGCTGACTTTGCGCTCTTATCTATGGAGTAAGACTGAATGAGAATAAGATTTCGATAACCGATAATTGCCTTATAACAAAGGGCTTTGGAAAGGTTTTATTGAGATTGCGCAGAAGGACTAGTGAATATGCACTAATGTAACCTTGTATCACCAAAAACTCCTATTTTACCACATCTGGGACCTGTAGGCTAGTTGGCAAGTGGCAGAGCCAGGACTCAAATCCAGATCTTCCCTTCCGGTCCCTGGTGCCTCTTCCCAATAACCAGGTTGCACAAATATTCTCCATAGGCTTCATGCCTTTACTGTAGTTACTTTAATCGCTCCTGCTAGCCCTAGCCAGTTTTG